CGGTTTCCTGAACCACTGCTTAAGGTTCTAACTTATCCTAATGGATTCTATTACCCCGAAAACCATATCATAGACACCCCAATTATGTCTCTCGGATGGATAATAAGTGACTTATGGCGATTTTTATGCTATGTCGGGCATTTTGGACGCCATCTTGGATTTTAGGGTTTCCTAGACAATCACAAACCATTCTTACTTGTCTCAATGGATTCTCTGATCCCCAAAACCATGGGATAGACACCGAAATTATGTCTCTAGGATGGATAATAAGTGATTTATGGCCATTTTTAGGTATCGGCGGCCATCTTGGACGCCATCTTGAAAATAACAGCTTTCCGAACCTTCGATTTAGGTATACTTTTAGTATGTTATTCCTGAGGCATACTACTAGAAACCGTTGAAAAACCTTTTGTTGCAATTTTTGGGGGTCAAACCATATCTTGACCTGATTATGAGTTATTGTCTCTGCTAATAGAATCCACGTTTATTTTTACCATTGCATTTAATATATGAAATAATTATTGTACATTTCTTATAATATGTGAAATATGAAACAATAAACTTAAACCTGAAACTGAAACTTTTCTAATCTTGATTCGACATTTTTCTCTTTCCATATGGTGTGAATATTTATGTGTGAATATTTGGTAACAATTTGGTGTCAATATTTTCACGTCTTTCCTCTTCTCTCTCTCTCTCTCTCTCTCTTTCTCTCTCTTCCTCTCCCATATCTAAGCGCATAGAGACGATTATGTAATATGCGTTATATTAGAATTGAACATTATTATTATTATTATTATTATTAGAGATATTTCAGGTGGACTTTTCTGTCATGTGAGGTATACATATTTTGTGTAGATGTCCATTGGATTTACCTTGTTGACATGCAAGTTAACGTATGCGAAACATGGTATATTACCATAATAACGTGGCTTCATGGAGTCCGAATGTTTTCAGACAGTTTTGTTCAACTTTGAGTCCCCGATCTATTAAAGTAAAGAGCGGCAAAAGGTCATTCGCAATATCAAAATAATAATACATAAATATCTAATATGAGTCTCAGATTTTTGGGCACCTCGCAATTTATCAGTGCTTGCCCCTTGTGCTATTTCTTAACATTATTTCCAAAGAAGTTTAGTGTCACGTTTTAATGACGTTTTGTGTTATCCTTTAGTGTCTGAGAGCAGAAAGTGCAAAATTCGCTGGAGAGTTTTACTCTATTTCTGCAGAATATTATTGAATATTATCGAATATTATCTTGAATAAGACCCATTAAAAACAAAAAAATCATCGAAGTCTGTAAATTGGCAATGCAGAGTAAAATCTATCTAATCAATATTTCGTGTACAAATGTCTTGGTCATATTTTCGTGGTAATTTCCATGTACACTGGTTCATTTAATACACACTCTATTCTTTTAATGTGGAAGAGTGAAAAATACAAATAATTTGTTATGATTTGAGGAGGAAAAGCTGATTAATTTAGACCTTTAGAAACACCGAACCGCTATGGGTCAATTCAAAGGCCACTGAATAAATTACCCCGGTGCATCGCTTAAGACCGGTGGAAAATTCAATTTTCAGAGACTCATAAATAAAAGCTCTAGGGCATGATCCCCTCGGAAGTATATTTGATCATTCACTTCGGGGCTTTTTGAAATGCTATGAACGATGCTGCATTCTCAATATACAAGCTTAAATCTACCCTGCTCTAAACGGACGATTTCTCGTTCGAAGCCGGCTATTTTGCACCTTTATTGATTAGGACTAGGGGCCTGGAGGTCACGCACATACAAAGAGAAGGTTGACTTCTGGGAAGAGGTGACAAATAATTTGTGAGCGTTATCATTGTTATTATGAAAGTGTGGAAGAACATTAGATAAAACACGTTCCCTGAAAAGCATGGCTCTTTAAATGCCTTCATATTCTAAATTATGTCATGTACATCGTAAAAATCGGGACAGATTTTTTACGCCACGTGTTCGTGTAGAGAGCCATATACATCTTTCTGTGTACAGTGTTTGTAACTTTACCAAAATTTGGCCAAATTCCTTATCATGTTGATGGTTCCATAACCTTGCGATACACATGAATACTTATATGCTAGAGTGATCAACCTTTTCTGATCGATTCCACACCGTTTCTTTCACAATGCAATCGCATGACCAGAACTCAACTTCATCCGGGTGTCCCGAACGAGTGATAAACACTCACACGCACGCTGATATTAGCTCGCACACATACCACGCACGCACATGCACGCACACTCTTTCATAGCATCGTCTATTAGCACAACCAACCCGCTACCTCGAATGTCATCCATCTAGTATCTACATACGTGCCCCCTACCCTTTACCCCAACCAGCGCTCCTGACCGGACCTACATCATGCTGCTTATAAAGTCATCAAAATAATTTCATCAATTCACGAAATTTACTCTCACAATTTACTCGTGCAACACAATCAATTTATGCCACAAAATAGTGACCCGACATGTGCCCCAGCGACATATGCTTCAGGCTTTATTGTATAGGGTTAAGTTATGGATTGCAATTAGGATTAGGTCTTAGGGTTAGTGTCAGGATTAGGTAAAGTGTTTTGTCTAGGGTTTCAATAAGAGTTCGGAAAGTGGTGTAGGATATTGACAGGGAAGCAATAATTGTCCCTCACCAGAGCCTGTGTCGTTAATACCCCCACAACTAAAAAAGTTTTTTTTTCACAAGTTTATTCCATTGTGATTGATTGCATGTTGTATTTCTGTCTTTTAGGCCATCATCTATTGTTCTCATACATGTAGTTATTGGCCTTTATCTCCTTTTCCCCCCCGAAACTGGCGGTTTTAATCCAATTGAGTGCATACTTTAAACAAAAAAATGCGTCTTCCTCATATCCAAGTATGCAAACCGAACTCAATATTATTATTGTTTTCATTATTTATGATGTATGTACTATGTTCTGTTTATATCTGGATTCATTTAAAAATGTTAAAGCATATAATTATATTTTTATGTCTATGGAATTGTTTTTACCTTGTAAATTCACTTGCATCAGCCTCCAGCTGTATTGTTGAATATTCGAATAAAACCTTATCAAATCAAATCAAATCAAATCCTCCATGCAAAATACACGTCATTCTTCGGTCCCTATCAGAGATTTTTTTTTTTTTTTTTTTTTTTGGGGGGGGGGGTCTACATTCCTAAAACGATGTTTCCCGGTTATTACCAAGATTCTTCTGAGCATCAAACAAACAGGCAATCATACAAGAAAACAAACAAACAAATACAAAACGAAACATGGAACCTTTCATAAATGCAAGGAAGACCCTTGTGTTTTTTTTTATCAATTCATCAACAAAACTAAAGAACCATTCAGGAATCATTGGATAAGGAAAATGTGGATTCGGTTTGACTAATTCGTATTTGTATTCAGTATTTTTAAGCAGGATTGCTTCCGTCACTACTTTGAGGGCCCCTGTTTTGGTAACTGTTAAATCAATATAATTTGCGGGAAAATAACATACGGAGACAGTTAAAGGACATCGGAGGCGGCACAACCAGATGCTTGGTTAGATTGATTGCTAATAAAGAGAAATGAACAGAACCATACAAACAAAACATAAGAGATCACGTGTAGTTCTTACAGACATAGACATTATCATAATCCCCTTCAAGGTACAAATATACGTATCTTGCCCTTAGAAGGGCAATAATACGAAGACAAAGATGATGATCAAAATAATAATGAAATAACAATAATTTACTGTTATGAATAACGATTGATGAAAATTGATTAGATCTTTATTAATATTCTTTGATCAGCTTTAGATGTACGGTAATATCGAATACACTGACTCTTTCATTTTGCCAACGAAGAATACATAAACATACATTCAGCTTATCGATACCAAATTAACAATCTTCCAAATACAAAGAAAGTATGAAAGCACCGATTTTGTCAACTTCAGGGGTTCTGATAAATGTCGATGACTTGGGGAGTAGCTTGGACATATAGTTGACGAAATATGTGTCCAAATTGCCTTTGAAGACTTTGAAGACAACCCCCGGACTAGTTTTCAGCGGAGACTCTATAAAAGTAATATCTATCGATTTTGAACATCATGTTGTTCCATAGTCTTTTCTCTAGCCACCTCTGCAGAATATCCAACCTTAATACCATCCTCCTTCTACTCCCCCTTACTCTTTCGAAAGGAGACCTCCCTTTTTAAAGGCATCGGGTAGAATTAAAATTTAATTAAAAGCATCGGGTAAAAATGCCTGACTTCAGGACGACGATGTGTCCGCCCAACTTTGGACTATCTTATTTCCAATTTGCGACTCGAGTGATGTTTTACCTGATAACGATCACCTTTAACTACAAATTGAGAAAAGTCATTCAAGTTAGGCATGTAATTGCCAATAACAAGTTAGTGCGACACATAATTCCTTCGACGTCGGGCATTTCTTATACGATATCTTTCTAGTATATAAAAACCTTGTGCTTGCTTTCCGTCCAGGTTAAGTCAGCTAAACATAATGGCGTCTACTTAACTACTTATATCATAATTACGAATTAAGTTTGAAGACAGATGATTTCAGCATCATGTTCTTTTTAACCAATGAAACTGGGTAGCGTGGAAGATTGTCCTGTCCTTTCGATGGTATTTTTCACCTTCATCAATTTTATAGTAGCGTCTTTAAAAAAATCTCGACTAATCATCAACTTTATCCGCTGCATCCAATAAAATCGACACGATTAACCGAAAGACTTTTGTCTTCTTTATTCCAACATCACATAGCTACGGTAGTTAGTACGACATTGAATATCGTTCAGTCAGTGCTTGTTCCCTCGGGGTGAAATCTATAAAATTGAAAAACTTTGCTTCAAATCGGTTGAGTCATCTCATATATTACCTCTACACTGTATCACCTAAATAGAGAGTGGTCTAGTGGATAAGTATCCTGACTGTGAACCACAAGGTACGGGGTTCGAATCCCGCTGATGTCCCTTGCAGGGGTTGTAAGTGGGTACCTGGTAGGATTCATTCCTTGAATGCAATGAGCGCTACGGTTGCTAAAGCTAAAGCCGGGGTAATAGTATCCTAAGTCCTGTAGAAGCGCATAGAGACGATATGTCATAATGTGAATATGCGCTATTCAATAACGGCATAACAGTAATATCATTTAGACAAAGGGAGAAGCACTGTATAACAAACATTGACCTATTATTTCGTATTACTTCCAATTGTTTTGTGCACATTTTCTGAACAAAAGGCAATCCTTCAGTTTTGATGATTAAAATCATATTTCAGTCATGTCTTCCCAGAGATATAAACTTCAGATGGTCTCTTAATTTTGGCTTATAAAATACAAAGATGACAATTTCCGTTGCCATTTCAAGCGGGCATGTTGCTGCTATTGGTAGGACACGAGAGCTTACTACTACTGGGCACAAAGCTTCTTTGGAATAAATAGGCAGGGATTCGTGCATGTACAATGTCCTTGTAGGCAGTTCTATCACATGCCTCTACGCGAAAACCTTGACGCAGTCATTGCCGTAATCAACGACCACCACTTTGACGTCATCGGTGATCGCGATACCGTTCGGGTAACGGAGACCGTCCTCGTCGCTGTCTACGCGTTTGACGAAGGTCCCGTCCGGTGAGAACTTGAGCACCCGGCCGTTCCAGTCGTTGCACACGTAGATGTTGTCGTTGAGGTCGGTAGCGACGCCGGTCGGGTACTTGAACTCGTCGTCGCCCTCGCCCGACGGCGTCACCTCGAGGAGATAATCGCCGTCCGTGTCGAAGATCTGACCAAGAGGAGAAAGAAGGAATAGAAAGATGAGAACAGTAGGGGGAAAAGGGGAGGAGAGAGAGTTTAAAGGAGGAGAGGATATACGTATATGTTTTATAAGAGATAAGGAAGAAGAGGGGTTCGAGGCAGAGAAGACAGAGACAAAGAGAGGTATATGGAAAGGAGAGAGAGAAAGAGAGGAGAAGAAGGGGAGAAAATGAGAGCCATTTGAAGTGAATGGTAGAGATAGAGGTGACAGGGGGGCAGACTAGGTAGAGACAAAGAGATGAGTACAGGACGAGAGATCGAGAGAGAGGAAGGGAGAAAGATATATGAAAGAGACCGACACATGGAAGAAAGAGATGTTTAATCGTGGAGGGATCGGACAGCGAACGAAAAAGAGGTTCACTCCCACTTGCCTGTTAACGAATATTTTGTCATGGCGGATTTTTAAGCCGGCCATGACATGTTTGACCGAGACGTAAAGCTTGAGCAACATTTTCTCACCTGCAGACGATGGTTGTCCCGATCGGACACGATCAGTTCGTCTTTGCTGTTGACCGCAGCCGAGATGGGTCCTCTGAAGTATCCCAGCGTGTTCCCGTACCCTCCCATATCTCGTACGTGAAGTCCGTCGGGGTCGTAGACCCGCACGCAATGCGACTCGTGGTCGGTGACGTACACGTAGCCGAGGCTGTTGACTGCGACGCCGCACGGTCGCCGGAGCTCTGCAGCACCGAAGATCTGAGTCAGCGTACCGTCTTGGTTGCATACCAATACCTGTTAAAAAGAAGTTTGATAATGCATTCACTTTCAACAGAATATGTTCAGTATTAAAATTATGATTCGAGGTGTTTTGTAAGCCAATATCTTTGTATCACGAGTGAACAGTCAATCAGATGATGGGCACGGCAGGTCATAATTTTGGACTGAAATTCCAATAAACCTCTTGTAAACTTTACATCCCTAATAACACTAGATAGCATTAAAGGGTTTCTGAAATAACAGGTGTGATGTTTAATGGTATAGTTGTGTATAAATAGCCAACGCACAGGTTTGTGGCTTTGATTTGTCCAAATGTGAATCTGATATTCAAATAGTGTTGTCCTAAAACTTATTCCAAATTAATCTGACAACCTTCAACATCATAATCATACGTGTTTTGAGATGGCAAAATAGCAATCAAAATGATATTTAACATTTTTAGTAGACTAGAAGGCAGATGTCACTATGCGACGACGTCGGCGGCAGTCAGGGGATTGGCATACACTTGCCTGTTGATTTCTGTGGTCGGTGATCACCAGGTTGTCGTTGTTGTTGAGCGTCAGATCGACGGGCTCGAAACGCTGGGCGAAGTTCGGGAAGCCAAGTTGTCCCTTGGCATTGCCGTCGATGTCAAAGACACGGATACAGCTGTTACCGGTGTCGGCGACGTAGATGAGCCCGGTTCGGTCCGACACCGTCACGCCCCAAGGCTCCCGTAATCGAGCATCGGCCATGAACGGGTTCACCCCCGACGTCGTTAGATTACCGAACGTGATAACCTGTGGTAAAAATAGAGTAGAAGATATTAAAAGATGGTGAAAGTGGAGAAGGTGAGGACGAAATAAAGGGAAAGGAACAGAAGGAAAAAGAAGAAGAAGGGTAGGATGGAGCTCGAGAATAACACGATTAAAGAAAGGAGGAAAAGTGATACTACGAGGAAGAAGATTATAACATTTGGGAATGACAAATAGAGGCAATTTATAGAGATTTAGAGAAATAATCGTGCACATTGAGTAGATGTCAATTATTATTGAATGCTTATCAAAAAAGGGGGAAATGAAGTGTACAGGAGAATTGAGCAGTGTTAATATAAAATAACATAATTCTTTGACGATTGCGAAATTTGGCTTTAAAAATATATACATTTTTGTTAAGTTAACGCCATGATCTAGCAATCCAAGAAATCATTTACACCGTTTAGAAATTCCTGGAATACTAGTGTATGACGATTTACCTGTCTCTCTGGCTGCATCACATCAAACTCAAGAGGGCTTTCTCCAATCTGCTTCCCAAAGACAGACACGATCAGCCGATGTTTTCCCGCGCAGTTTGGTCTAAAAGTGATATCATAGTTGCCGTCCATGCGGTCACGAACCCTCGCTATCCCGACCTCGCCCGCCGGTGAACAGAGCTTGGCTGTCACCGGAGCACCACCGTTCCGTACCTGCTGTCCTCCTGCATTCCTCGTTGTCACCGTAAGGCACACGTCTTCGCCCGCGGAGATGACGGGCGGGCACGACGGCTGGAGTCCGATGGCGATGTGCGACGTCGAGGTCATGGTGGGGTTCTGCACTTGTCCGAACGCCGCTGCGCGGTCGTAACTGTCCTCGCCCACGTTAAACCCAATATAACCATTATCCTCGGTCTCGACACCGGCACTGAAGTTGATGGATTCCTCTAACTTCCAGGTGGTGTCCCGACTGATGTATAGCAACGCATGGTCGTCCCCTTCACCGTGGAGATTCTCCAGGACGTTGCAGACACTGACAGTCTTGTCCAGCAGTCGTTGCTTGGTCTCGATCTCTTCCTCTAGTTTGGTGTCTCTTGATGAGAATTCCTCGCCGAGTTCAGCGCTGGCTTCCTGCTCGAAGAGTTCAATCATTTCGATCATCTTCTGCTTCCTCTGTTTGATCTGACCGTCGATGCGATCTCGGCTCATCTTGAGACGACGTTGTGTCTCCTGCAAATTATGATATATTATTTTACTGATATTCAGACACAGCAGAAAGATAACAACAATACCAGATAACATCGGGGCTCTGTAAAATAAAAATTGACTCTGAACAATCAGAAATGGAAAGAAATTTACGGAAGCACCATATATATATAGTTCCTACAACATGTACAAGAACTGTTGGGATTATTTCGGCAAGAGTTTTGCAGGAACTTTTCTCACTGAAAAGTATCACAATTGACAAGGTGCTTCCATAAACTTCTTTATATTTCTTTTTTTTTCCATTACCAAACCTACAAAATTCATATTACGATCAATCATACAGACAATGTTTCTCCAATGTTGCTGCAATCAATGTATCTTACAATATACATATTTGTAACATGAAAGTTACCAATTCTCTGCATTGATTCATGATTGATTGAAAAAGATACGATTGATTTGGAGGAGATACAATTATTGATTGTAAAATTAATGTTACAGGGACCTTAGATAAACATACCACCCTCAATTGGCGAATATAAGCAATATAAAACGATATCGGTCGCGTCAATATACCACTTTTTACATCTGGATAGAGATTAGGCCTTGCATAATATTTCCAATACCTTGCAAAAGAAAAGAATAATTTAAGGGGGCTCGAACCCACGACCCTTCATACGACATTCAATATAAAAACAATGTAAATGTGAGGAACCTAATAGAGGTCAAGTATTTAGGCCACCCGAATACGAGATGTTCTTTTGGATTAGTAATATCTATTGACAAAACAAATCCATCCGATCTCTTATGTACGTTACCTTGAGGATTGTGACAGAGTCTCGAAGGCCAGACACCCTTTCCTTGGCCGTGGCTGCCAGGGTGCCAAGGGTCTTCCGACGGCTGGCCGCTGTCTCTTGAAGCGTATCATGGACGTGTTTGGATGGCGGGTGGTCTTTAAGCACACAAAGACGGCAAATGGGAATGTCACAGGAATGGCAGAAAAGCTCTAGAAGATATCCCCGATGACTCCTGCACATCTTGTCATCCTGCTTGGCGAAATCACAGTCTACTCGCATGCCACTTGACTGTAGGGAAAAGACGAAATGAAATACATATTTAGAACTCTCTGTAGACTTGCAGTAGCACGTCTTAGTAACATTTAATCGCTCAGCAATTTTTTGTGTTTTCCTTTTTGAGGCGGGGAAGCTCTTGTAGTCGACTTATACTTTCATGTGATACATCCACACAAATTTAAATAGAATGTATGCCTTTCAATGTGTTCTAAAGGGGAGAGAACAGTAACGGGCAAATCCTGACTATTCTGATATATCTGGGTGTGGAAATAAACTGTCGGAAAATACATGAATGTTATATACAGGTCAGAACTTTGGGTCATTGATGGATTAGGACAGGTAATTGCGTAGTTCACACGACGCCTCGTGTGCAATGCGCGCATCAGAAGTTAACCTAAAATCTGCATGCGATAACCGAATTCCTTACCTGGTGTTCGTCTAGCGTTGTCAACTTGTGATTTTTCGTCAAACGAAGCCGACGATGCGCTCCGGCACAATCGAAGCACAACTCCTCCTCGCAGTTCGTACAATAATGCGAGGCCTCGTTCTCGCATCCGTGGCACGTCAACGCCGTCGCCGACGCCTGCCGCTTCCGACCGATAAAATCGATGATGCTGTTGACGAAGAAATTGTCGGGGAGGGAGTGGACGCCGGCTTGGGGAAGCTCGTACTCGTTGCGGCAGACGGGGCAGGAGAGTTGGTCGTTGTTCTTGGCCACCCATAACTCGAGGCAACCCACGCAGAAGGTGTGTTGACAGGAAAGAACCTTTGGCTTCTGGAGACGGTCGATGCATAAGGGACACTGAAGGAACTCGCGATCAATGTCTTCTGCCCGGACTACACTACTTGCCATGCTATACTTGGATTGTGGTCAGTTCATTGATAAGTACCTGAAATGGAGAATGAATTAATGAGAGAGAGAAAGGGAGAGAGAAATAGAAGTTATTAATACTGTCGATTAATATGTGGGAATGTTTACAATGATGGGATTAACATTTCCTTTCAGCCCGTTTACTAAAAGTATGAACCACTAGGCCACTATCATTCAATGCTAACTCAAATCCAAAAGTAAAACAACTCGTTTTAATGTAATCTTCTAAATATTCCTTCTCATTTCCAAATAACTCGATAAATACAGGATTTAGTAATTATGACATTTAGATTATGGTCAGTATTCTTCTAATTTATAAATCCAGTGTCGGGTTTTAATATTAGTGCAATATGGGCATATACTTCGAAATAACATCCATCCCCACGATAAATCCTATTGAGATTTGTTAATCAATATACATCAGGTATTAATACATCTTGCACGTCGATACATTTACATTTATTTTCTATTTTTGAAGGAGCATGGGGGTATTGACACCCGTTATGCTCTAAAACGATCATCGAATTAAAATAGCAATACTGACAATTTAAAGATATAGACCGATAGTGGCAAAATTGCGGTTCAAGGGTTTTGGGTGCAAAATATCCATTAAATATTGTTTGAATTTACCAAATATATCAATTAGTAGGCGGTTTCCCTGCAAAATTTGTATCATCACGTATTAGTCAAAACATATTCTTTCACATGATTGGTAATAAGAGCTTCCATTTCATTTTTTGAGAGGGGGCGTTTCCAAAACTGGTCTATACCTTTAAGTTCCAAGCATTTTCTGGCAGTTTCGGAACGATGGTGGTACCTCAAAACTCAATTAACGGCTAGCACTTCCGCAGACCACAGGTATTAATGATGAGATCGTATTCAGTGGCGTCTCAAGTTGGGGGGGGGGGGTGGAACCCAACCTTATTCAAGTTGTTGATAGACCTTAACATGGTGTGGGCAATGAATTCAAATTGAAGATTTCTTTGTTATATTTAGATATTGTGAACAGCTGGTGATGGCAAACTTAAAGATCTTTGTCACCAAATTAAGAAAATCTATGCACCTCTCGATATAATAATTGCTTTTCATTTTGAAAACTATTAGGCAAACTGATATGGACGCCCACCCCATTTAGAATATTCTAGCTAGCGACGCCCCTAACTGTTCATGCTTGCCGAGAAGCTCTGATAAACAAGCAGACCACAAAATAAGTGAATCAGTTTATTTTCTTTAGCAGATAAATGGTGACTAATTTTAATATTGCCGACACAAATCTGGTTTTCCCAACATAATTTCAAAAGGGGACAGTGTTACCTGCCACCCCACCCCTAGTCCCTCTATCAATACCCTGGTCATCATGATCCATACAATCCATTCAATTCAATTCAATTCAATATGATGTGATTATTCGACCATGCTGATGTAGGAACACATCAAGTCATTAACCCCTTTAATTCATCAATCCCTAGAGTCGATCGCCAGACGAAAACGTGATGGCAATGAGGCACAGGGAAACTTTAGAAGAGCTAGGATGAGATCATCTCCCTTGGACGATCTCAAACATGACTCATACTTCCATTACACTCAAGGTCGGTTGTGTCAGATTTACATCTGGTAAAGATACATGATGATGGTGAACCATAATAAACATGGCTCTGGTATAGGGTGGGGGTACAGCTACTAGGGTTGTACGACACATGCTCTTGCAACAATTGCGCCGAAAACAATTTCCTACACTTATTAATTCTAATCGTATACCTGACCTAAACGCATCTGAAATTCTAATCCTTACCCAAAGCCTACATTATAATAGTCGCCGTAGAAGATGTCGGACTATTTCCGAAGCCTCTAAATATACGGAATTTACTTGAAAATGTCCAAAAAGAATGGCGAGAAGGCACATGAGTGCGCCCGATCAACATTTGGCGTTTTACGCACTGATTTAAGACTGATGATATTCCTTTTCAAAACATCGAACCAAGCTCGGCTTTAAACCTATAACCCGGTAATCAAGCTTAACATTATAACTTTTTAAGAGTAATTTTTTCCTTTTCAATCTGAAATGTTTTTCTGTAACATTTGTATACATTGTCTTTGATTGCATGGCTTTGTCCCAAGTTTAAATGTATCAAAGCGTATTTCAAATAGATCTCAACAAATCAAAATTTTGGTTATATCGGTGTTTAATCGAGAAAAAGAATTGCAAAGCTTTAAACAAAGAAAAACTTTTGTGCCCCCAGACGAAAATGTAATGCAATCCATTATTCTTAATACATGTAGCTCCTTTTTTTCCTTCTATTTCTGTTTACATGAAGGAAAGAGACAGATTTATAATATATACAGCATAGCTGTTGTGACTGTCACTCTTACAGCTTAAGTCATTGGAGTGACCATTGTTCTTACCAGCAGGACAATTGACCTAACCTTTGAGACGTGTGATAATTTTCAAAATGGCACTTCAAGCGTTGGTGGGGCAAAGTGCGTTGACCTCCAACTTGAGTCTATATTTAACATTTCAATTGAAACCCATCAGGGGTCCGCTATACACAATGCCTATGATAAATGAACTCTAACAGCGATATCATAATCAAGTGTACAGTGCAATTTGAGAAGGAGGTTAACATTGCAAAAGTTCAGTGGCGGGACCGTGATTTTATTTAAAGGGGGAGGGGTAGCAATTTGTGTGAGGGACCGTCATAGAGCAGGCCTCTACATGTAGATATGGCCTAAACAAATCCAAATGCATATATTTCATTGAAATAAAATCTTGACATGATAGGATTATCATACAAACAAACAAAACAGAGTAAAATTAAGTAGAAGCATGCTAAACAAAGGCGAAACCTCAACAAAACAAAGGCCAATTAACAAAAACTTTGCAGTTTACATACACTAATTGTTTACAACTTTCTTTTGTACAGAAGCTGTGGAAAACTGATGATATAGACTTAGGGTGATTAAACGTCCCAATTGCACCCCCCCCCCTGGAGCTGACGGAGGATGGCAAAATTGGGATCGGGATGACTCTTAGGGTGAACAAATGCCCCACTTGCTCCCGCCCCCTCCCCCGGGTGACGTCACTAGGGATTTCTTCTTACCGAGTATAACGTCCTAATTCGAATCATAAAGTAATAACCCGGTGTGACACGTCTGTTTTTTTTATTTTACTTCTTTTGACTGCAATTTTATTTCAATAATATTGTATCTCGTTCTCTATTGTATTATAAAACATGATTTGATTCATAACCACCATCTGCTGAGCAGAAATCTTGAAGGTGGTTAACGTTTTCATTTCTCTCAGAACACGATATCGTGTTTTGTTTATGTTTACATTGCATGTATAACGACTATGGACAACATAAAGGTCGGATATACCTTCAAATCTGTTGCATTTTGGTGTCCTTTGCCAGATGGTACGACTGCGTCAGCGAGCGGGGTCAGCGACAGGCATGACATTTGTCCCGGTGGGGGGGGGGGGGGGGGGGGGGGGGGGGGGGTCACTCTCATACACAAGTGCTACCCACCCGTATCCATCAACCTCTGAAATGGACCCTAATGGCGTATATCGCATCTTTCCTGAAATGAATCCTAATGGCGTATTGCACCTTTTCTGAAGTGACCTTAATGGCGTATATTATGTCGCACATTTTCCAAAATGGATCCTACTGGCGTATCGCACCTTTTCTGAAATGACCTTCATGGCGTATGTATTGCACATTTTCCGAAATGGACCCTAACGGCGTATCGCACCTATTCTGAAATGGACCATAATGGCGTATGTATCGCAAATTTTCCGAAATGACCCTTAAAGACGTATCACACATTTTAAAGTTAACACCACTAAATTGCTATAAAATGGCTTTGAACAAGTTGACGCAAAATGTTATATGTATTATTTTACTGAATGCTTTACCCATGAAAGTCGAAACCTGTGAACCTGAAAAGGTAACAATTTTGATGGGGGGGGGGGTGGTGGGGGGGGGGGGGCAATCAGTGCTTGAAAAAAAAACCTTTTTAAGGAAAACGTCGACGACGCCGTATAGCTGAAAAATATACCCTTTTGACACTTTTGCTGGACGCGGATGCGTGAGCCAGTCGTGTTTGGAGTGACCGTGTGAGAGTGTTATTGTACATAAAATTAATACAAACGAACATTTTAATAGGGGGTTGAGAGTTGGTCTAGCTGTGCGTTTAATTGTTCAACTCTCTGTCTTCGCCTACAAACTGCCTTAGACGGAACCCCGCCCCCCCCCCCCACTCAGTGTTATTTAGGGTACGCATATGCGTGTTCCCTCCTTTTGAAAACACCCCCTAAGTCCGGTGTGTAAAGTCAATTTTGTGTATGTACGAGCCGGACTTTGGTGCGTGAAAAGTATCCCTTTACCGTACATTTTGGTAACACGGATGTGGTCATTCTGACCCCGGAGTGGGCGGGGGGGGGGGGGGGGACGGAACCCTGGTTCGAAATTTGTAGTCGCGTCTTTTGGATTGTGACGTTAAAGGACGGTCCCGTGACGTAAATAACCATATCTGATTTATAAAACACTTTAAAAATCCAATGACACACACACCCTCACACACAAACGCACACATGAACACCACAAACGTTGCCTTGAATAGTATTGTACTAGCGTCCTTGCATAGATTGCCTCCACAAGTTTTAAAAGCGACGCCGCGTGTGCAATATGCATTCGCTGTATCCTCACATCCTATACAGGACGCATTACTAGTCCATTTAAAATTCACTGTAGGCCTACGCCAACAAAACTATTCCAACCCTCTCAGACAACCCTTGATGATCATCAAATAGACATTTTATTCTATTTCTGTCCGGAGCTATGCTAGACAGCTCCCCACGTACATAGCTCAACTAATCATTGATTTACCTTTGTCAAAATACCAGGCGGGACTTTTCAGAACCCCGGTGCATAGTCGCACGAGCATAATTTTATCTCTTATCTGTACATTATTGACTCTCACTTTTAATTTTGAGAGTGAGCTAAGTACTTGACAGTTTATTACAGTGACAAATGTATATTTTTCCATCACAATAATACACAACCTGATCCTGCAGAAAAGACCACCTCACTGCCTGAATAAGAGTTGGCAGCTGCCCGAATGTCGGTAATTTGAGGGGGAGGGGTTACGGTATGAATGGGACATGAGGTATATTTCCAGTCTCGGTATTTGCCCCATTTAACTGCCCACCGCACTTGCCCCGCTCATGTCGGCATCATTATGTAAAAATAATAATAATCATCATCATGATGATGAAAGGATATTTATAATTATCATTGTTTATCTCCTCGTCATTTTTTGGTGTGCCTATCTTTTATCCAGGCGCTCGTTTTTACTGAGGACGCAAGTGAATGATATATGTTTAAAAAGAGAAAGAAATATTCTCAGTTATGCTTCGGGAAATGTGCTCTTATTCTAATCCCTCCTCAACAAAGGAACAAGCTTTTAAAACACACTTCTTTTCCCGTCTTTGTGGTTAGCAGATTGATAAATATGATTTTGTGTTTCAATGTTGATATTATCCTTGCCAATACTTTTACTCCTCCCACGTTTTAATTCTATGTATCGCCTGTGGGAAGGGGCCATGAGCAGAAAATCGTCCCGCGATTTTTTTCCTCTTTTGTGCGCACCCCCCCCCCCCCAATTTGTTGTTATGTTTATTGCATCCCAACATCACTCAAAACCGATGCAATTTTGGAACAAACAGAGAAGAAACTTTGGAGGAAAAAAAATGAAAGAAGGTCCCTCGCCTGTCCTTTCTTAGATCTAAAGCTAGTATGCACCAATGAAGCTAACGACTTTATGAATGTAATCTCTCTTTCTCTCTCTCTTTCTCTCTGCGGTATATGAATGTACATGGATAATATATCATATACATCTATACAAGAGTCGCATACTCGGTATATCTATTCCAGTATAGTAGCAGCTGGCGAGTGCACCGGAGTTGATATGAGAACCACTCGTATGCACCGTGACAGGCAGGCAGGTCGGATGGCGTATCACCGCGGTAAGATAGCGCGCGATCTGTACATGCTCTTATCAGCTATAGACGAGAAGGAATTTGGGCTGTATTCCCTGGATGGTGTGGAGTATTTCCACATAATGATGCAAATTAATTAAGCAAAGTGTTTTTAAACCCCTTCAAAACTGCATGCTGGACGTGTAGTAATGTTTTCGTTCAAACATACGTAATGATAACATGGGAGGGTAACACATGAGAATTAATTTTGATGCAAACTAATTAGTCGAAGTGTTTTTAAACCCCTTCGAAACTGCATGCATGCTTGCGTAGTAATTTTTTCGTTCATAGATACGTAATGATAACATAGTAGGGTAACACATGAGAATTAATTTTGCTTTTCATGTCATATTCAATCAAAGAAACGTATAATAGCATGATGCAATGTAATTTATATTGTTCTAGGTATTGAATAGGAGCACCGCTTTTCGAGTTTTCGCCTCCTAATATCAATGAATAATTTGCAACGTTACTACGTTTAACACATTATTCCGTTAAGTATTAATCAAAAGAAAATGAATTCAAGGTCTAACTTAACAATGTCTTATGTGCTATGACAGGCTTGGCATATTATCACCACGGTATGATAAAGCACGATCTACACATTGTACACAATTTGGGCTATTATATAGTCACTATTCCCAGCTGGCCTGCTGTCGTGTTTTTTGGAACCCCCTGAACCGTTACTGCTATAATTATAACTACAGTTTATTTTATTCTCATACTTAAAATATCCGACAAATCATTCTGTTTGTTAAAATATGCTGTAAATTTGGTCTGGTTTGATTATATAGCATTTCTATCATACTAAACAACAAATCTTTTTTAATTTAACCTTGTACAATATCATTGTCATTTCTCTTGTTAAACACTCGAAAATACAGCTTCATACTTTAAAAGGGGCTTACCATTACAAGCCACGCTTTTCAATAAGCCCTCCATATTCACATGTCACATAGAAAAAGTCCTAATTTCAATTACATGTATGATCAAACTGTCAAATTTTAAAAATCTTCAATAATGTTATAACAAAATCGCAATTTTTATATTGTTTCCAGATGTAATATATCCCCTAGTTTGTTATATCTTATGTTTTCTTCCTACATTAGAGCATGTAAAATAAATACAATATATTCATCTCAATTCAATTTTATTCAATTCAGATAACGTGTATCAATTAACACAGTGATGTAGATATAGCGAGGCACGGGGGCACGTGCCTCCTACCCCCCTCCCCCCCCCCCCCCCCCTCACCGAAAAAATCGGACGACGAAGAAAAAGAAGAAAAAATCCCCCGGACGTCAAACTACCACATTGAGTGGGGGAGGGGTGGGTTAGGTGTGTAAGGTGAGTCGGACAGATGTTATCGTTTATGTACACCAAAATTCCTAACAAGCCAACAAACACAAGAATAATTTGTTTGTTTTTTTAATTAAAAAAAGTAAAAAACTAAAGCGCAAACTAAATATTTAGAAAAAAACTGAGACAAAAAAAAGAGCAATTTTTTTTTAAGCTAAGAAAAAAAAGAAGAAAAGAATAGATAAAAAATAAAAAGCGAAATCTCTACATTTTCAAATTAGCAGAAAGAGAAATAAAACATGAACTATATAAAGTAGTGTATCTCTCAACACTATTAACTAAAGAAAAGCCAACTTTGAATGCTTAAATACCCCCATCATCTATAGACATGGGCCTCCAAACTGGGGTGCTGCTGTACCCCCCTTTTTGCAACCCCCCCCCCCCCCCGACGAGCCTGAAGAATCCATTATCAGGGGACATGGTATAAAGGAAACAATATCAGCGCCTCCACAGTGAAAAGTACTGAGGAATCGTTGTTGTTGCTGTTGCTCATTTTTTGTAGTCGATCAACAGGTAAGCCCAAATATGATATTTTTGCCTGTCAAAGAATTGTTGGCCTTGCCACCCTCACCCCCCCCCCCCCCCCACCGTAGAGTCATGGATACACCACTCACATGGAACATAATTATCAGCAGGTCACAAATTATTATTAATTGCTTATTTTTAAATCTCCGTATGTGTTAATGTGACAGCCAGACCACTAATAAAACCGATACAATGATGATAGAACCCCAAGCCATTGATGCATAAATCCGTCTCCACAATAAGATTACAACTCATAGCACCAATGGCCCCAAATGGGACCTAGCTAGTACCTTTAAGAGGTAAGGAAAAAGATGAATTAAGTTGATTATAATCAATCTTCATCTCCGTCTGTATAAATGTGGCAGCCATTCCATTTATATTTCAATACAACGGATAGTGTAACAACAAAACTACCCAACGGATTAATGCATTTATCCCGTCTGTACAATTACAACTTAACTCACGTCAATGTATTCATATCTACGCACGAGAAACAAGAATGATATGTCGAGCATGATACGTACCCTATAATCTTGAAGAATTATTCACATCCGCGGGGAAAAGAAGTCACTTACATCCAAGCTTATATCCATTATACAAATAGGAGAGAATCAGTCATAAAAAGGGTGATATATTTACACACACAATCCAATATACAGATGTGATATATGAAGTATATTAACTATATGAAAACTATATACACGGAACAGTAAGTTCCACCGCGGTATCAGTCTTCCTCCTATTCTAGATCCATTTCGCCGTACGTTATCCACACTAGAGTTATCTACATGATGTACATGGTGGAAGTCAACATCTTCTTTTGTTCTTGTTGTTTAAAGTTTTACTCTAACCCTGGTAGAGGTTGGAAGGTTGGGAGCACGGTGTACAGACAGCCGACATCGCGACTCGCTCGGGCCAGATGAGAGGTGGTGAAGTACGCATGCGCTGGAATGCACGGCACGTGAATCATGCGGTTGATTTATGTGTGTCTGCTAGTGAGAAGCAAGGGAACGAATTGGTGTGCCATCGTGTGTGCCATTGGCCCTATTGTTACCTAGCTACATACAGTACGTGTTATATACTAGTGAAATATTAATAGCATAAAGTGTCTTCTGAGAAAAACCCCACGATATCTTTAATATTTTCTCGAACACTAATGATAATAATATATAAGACAAACAATCGTGCATCAGGGACAGAAGGAAGGGGGGGCAACGGCATGGAGTGTCGGGTCATCGCCCCCCCCCCCCCCCCCACACACACACATACACAAACACACCCGAATCAATCCGTTGTGCTGGATAGAAATGAAATGATAAATAATAAAGAAGTATGGACCTGCTAATGATATGCTCACAGGACTTTTATATATGATATTCAATCGCATACTTATTGACATTATATAATTATATTTGTAATACTTACTTTGGTGAAGTTTGGACATAATTCTTTAAACACAAATTAATTTTGTAAACGTTTTGAAATATACTTTATCATTACAGGCCTATTCCTATATCCTAGTCTCATATAACATTGCGTTAACATATAACATATCCGATTACATAATCTAACACAACACTTAAACTTAATCTATACAGGCATGCATTATATACTTGCAATAACCCCTCCCCGGCCCACCTTCGTCATTCAACCCTGCCCCTCTCTCTTCCACCCCCCTTTCAAATAGTGTTACTCTTCCCCTTTAATTGATATATTATCTCCCACCCCCCCCCCCTCTTTCTCTCCTTCCCCGTCTCTTTCTCTCTCTCTCTCTCTCTCTCTCTCCATTTCTAATTATGTTACTCTGCCCTCTTAATTGACATATTTATCCCCCCCCCCCTCTCTCTCTCCCTTCCCTAACTTCTACTCTTTTACTCACTCCTTTGAATTTTCAACGTTTTCCCTCAGCACTCATTTCCTTTTGTTACATTATTCATTCCTTCGTCTACGTGTAAGAGTATTCTCATTTCTCTTTCATTTTTCCTTTCTTTGCTTCAACACAGAAATATAATTGGGCAATACAAATTCATGTCAAAATATCTTTTTATTTCAATTAAGTAAAAAAATTATTGATTGCACAAAATGAGCTCTCCTAGCCATATTCCTTTGAATTAAAAAAACCCTGTAAAATTGGTCCATAATACACTTTATTCTTCAAACATTTTTGTTCTGAGTGTCAATTTCTTTGCCACTGAAGACATGTTGGCATATATTTAAGAATAATTTTCCAAATTAATCATTCCCAATGACTACAAAACAGAAATAAGCTCGAATTTCAAACTGGCTTTTGAGCAAAAGTACTTACCAGTACATGAATAATATATAACATTTATGACAATATTATATACAAATATACTACTTTGAATCAAATTTCTTAAAATATCCAAGCATGATTGCAAAGAATATCAAGAAAATCAACCTAATGGAGAGTTTGATGGTATCAACTTATAAAATGTGAGAATATCAAGATGGCATATTTCATAATCTGAAGATGATTTCTATAAACCATAATAGGGTTGAAATTGCCAGTGAGTTCATTTACCGGTAGTGACAGTCTTTGAAATCATGCTAAAAAAAAATGTACCTACAACACATGATATGCAGGAGGTATATATCTAGTATTAACATGTGAAAAATTGTGCATGACACGTCATATAAGATATAATCAAAATTAAATTTTATTAAAACAAATCTTACTTGAATACATATCTATAAGCTTAAAATAATCATTTGCTGAAATGAAATTCTGTTGATCTAATTTTCAAAAGATAACAGAAAAATATTTATAAAAAAAGTATTCTGTAAAGTTATCATGGTTCAATGTGTAAATGGTGAAATAACCAGCAATGTATTTAGCTTGTTATTTTCACAATAGACCATGAAGTTTACAATATATCTTTTTATTTATTTATTATTTATTTATTATTTATTTTATTATCTATTCGGCAACTCTCAAAAATATAACGGTGTAAATATGAGTAAACAAACATTAAAGGAATGTTATAAATGCACAATCTTCCTGGAGGTCCTCTTGGTGCATCAGTTGGTTACCGGGGAAGAGGAAAGCAAACTTAATCACTGCAAGTGTAATGGTCCCTCTTCCCGAACAACTGGTGCACCCAGAAGACCTGTATCCAACCACCACTACATGTAGTTATCTCTATCACCATTCCCCCCAACGGCCTAGAAGACCACCAGAGGCCAAAATACAATGTTTCCTTTGTCTAGAGTCAGAAGGGAATTAATTCATATTATTTTACAATGAAAGAATTCCTTTCTGGCTACAAACAAACAATTTGATATAGTAGGCAGTAAATTGCAATTCCAGTCCAAGGAGATACAAAAATTAATTGCATTCACCAACGGGCTTGGTTGCATGAACATATATACATGTATATTTTTATGTCTTTAATGCTTTAAAAATTATATTTTGATTGAAAACACAATGTTGTTATCTCAAACCTAAACATATTGTCTATTGAGAGCCAGGAGGGTGTTACCTCTGTGGAAAATTAGTATAAAAGTTCAGATGTACCAATCATCTGTGGACGTTTTATGAAATTGGCACAAACTTTTGGCAAGCTTGGGTGCCAAGTTCCCCGACAAAGAATGCCCCTGTTGATTTGCTGACAGCAACGAGGTGCGGCTTGGTGTCCTTACCAAGGGTTATGGTGTCCAGCCGATGACAGTCCCCTATTGGACCCGATCCCGGAGCCGCCTTTACCAGCACGATCTGGTCCGAGTTTAGCTGGGTCACAATGAAGTGACCTTTGTCTTTGCTAAGTCTAAATAAAAGTGAGAGAAAGAGAATAATGTAATTAATTTCTGATATTGTGATTCTTTCAGTGTACTTTATAATTCACAGTCATTTAAAGACGCAGAGTAGTGGGCTCTCATGTGGAATTCGAAACCATTCAGGTGTCTACCCAATAACAGGTGTTGTCAATCACAAGGACTATTATCCTTCAGTTTTATGACCAACAGGCCTTCTGCCCATTCCCCCATATCACAAAGTCTTTATCTTCACCTGAAGACTCTCAGAGAGACTAGGGGGTATATTTTGTTATAGGACCTCTGGTTTGCTGTGTGCAGGTTTGTACACTCATTACCGGTAATGGTATTTTTACCAAGTCCGCTGTCGGTGAATTATGACCTTCTGCACATGGAAACTGATGACTATCTCCCTCTAACCAATGTGCTTTTTAGAACTCTGTAGCATTTATATCTGCTGTTTTCATTTCTCACAGCTACCAACTGGAGTGGTGTATGACTATCTTGCAAGTGATGTCAGGAATTTAAAAAAGGACAGAAAACTTTAAAATCCATCAATTGGCAACACAAAGTCCTTGTTTTTTAATAAAAATTGGCTACTTTTCAACTTTTTGACAACCTTCCCTCGCATGTTTATTGTTTTCAGAAACATTATATTCTATCAAAATAATGTTGCAATAATAGAAAAAATATTATTGGTGCCAATTTGAAGGACAACATGTGATCAATTTAGCCCTAAAAATAAATCCTTTTTTGAAAGGGAGTTAGAGCAACTTATATACCTGACAGAATATGGCTCTCCATCCTTGAAGCACGAACTCCAAATCCCGAGAAGTTCTCCCGTCTTGGCATCGAAGGCCTCCAACCTCCCGTTCATCCGATCGGCAACCCAGAGTCTACCGCCCTCGTCCAGCTCCACACTGTGCGGGATGTGGAACTGGCCCGGAGAGCTTCCGTTGCCTCCTATACTCCACATCGCCAAGGTGCCAGAGTTCCCTGCCCAGGGAATCAGGTTAATGATAGTGATTAGAACAGGTGTTTCACAAAACTTTTCATCAGTGTCAAATGAGAGTTTCTGTTATAAGCTAGTGAAATCCTTGCTTCTGATAGGTTATCAGTAAAGTTGTCACTGTTTTTTGTCATTTGTCATTGAAAAAAGGCTTTGTGAAACACCCCCCAGATGCTCAGATATTGAAAACTCTCATTTATACAGTTTGGCGAACTTCAGTATATTTGGCAAGGGTATTAGGTTGTATGACACATGCTCTGTTGTCAATATTCTACACTCACCAAAATTGTAACTTCGATCCAGGATAAAACACTATACCCAGCCCTAACCGTAATCCTAATCTAAAAACTCAATCACAAGCACAAATCTATCCCTATAACCCTGCATCTTGTTCAAAGTAAAGCCTGGGACAATGGTTGATCAAATGTTGGATCACACAATGAAGAAACAAAGAATGATTCTCTTCGTCTTTTTAGACAGGGATAACTTCCAAAAGTCACTTAAAGTGTCTGGGTTACATTGCCTCAGATTCAAAAACAAATCCTGGATTTAGCCCATGCTGCAATAATAATTATAAACCTTTAGGTCAGTCAGGAATCCCGTGACTTTTACAAGCCGATCGCCTGTCTGATTACCAAGATATTTATGATTTTTGAGGCACTTCATGATCATTTTGAAGTGCAATTTTTTTTAGGGCTTCAATATTACACCATATCACATACACTGCTAACACGTAGGGCCATGCATCTCACAGTTATCATTGTTAAAAGGATGCCTTTAATTGAAATCTACTGTGTTTTACCAAATGAAGTACAACTTACTCAGCTCTACTTTCACCACTCTATTGTTGACCCCTCCATCGCCATCTGCAATGTAAAGCACGCCCTCAGCGTTGATGGCTATATCAGCAACATCTCCGAACATGAGAGGATGTAGGGAGGTACCAGACTTGCCTGCCACGCCCATTGTCAGATCAACCGTTCCATTTGGTAGTAACCGTTTGACAGTGTGTCCATGGACCCCTATGGTTTAAAATTGAGGGAAATAAGAAAAATTAGCTTGCAGACATAAATAAGCGTAAAGAGTTGTGCGTGGTTTAACTAAGTCCACTTATTTCTGGTTCTTCATTCTGTACAAATCACTATGGCCCGAATTCACAAAGGAGGTTTAGATTTTTACCCATGGTTTAAACCCTCATTTACATACCCATGGTTTAAAATAAGCGCAAAATAAGCGTGACAAAAGTCGGAGCACTCGGAGGTCCAATATTAGACGTGCGCAAGGCAAGGTACGCTTATTTTGCACTAATTTTTAAACCATTGGTTATGTAAATGAGGGTTTAAACCATGGGTTAAATATCTAAACCTCCTTTGTGAATTCGGGCCAATAGTTCTGTCAGTAAATTAACAAATTGAAAATGTACTGGCCTCGTTCACACACTGCGCAGCAAACTGCCTGTAAAACGTTACATATGGCAAAATATAGCAAATTTAAGTAAAGATGAATAACAGGTGGGGGTAAAGAATAAAAATCATTTACGTTTGTGCTATGCTTTATAATGTTTTATCCTGGATTGAAGTTACAATGTAATATTGAAGCCCTTAAAAAAATTGTGCTTCAAAAGGATCATGAAGTGCCTCAAAAAGTAAAAACCTTTGAGTGACCAGTTTTACCATACTCATTTTCCCCAATAGACTGTAGTGTAGGAAAACCGTTAGAAAAACAAAAAATGAAAATTGCGATTTCCAATCACAAATATCTTGAAAATCAGACAGGCGATCAGGTCATAAAAATCATGGGATTCCTGACTGACCTAAAGGTTTATAATTATGATTGCAGCATGAGCTAAATCCAAGATTTTGTTTCAGAATCTGAGGCAATGTTACCGAATCACTTTGAGGCTTGTAACCACATACCATCGCCTACGTCCGTCACCCAGATATAGCCCTGCTGGTTGGTTTCGTTGAACTGGTATCTCATTCCATGCAAGTCCTGCAGCATACTGCTATCGTTGTAGGTGAACGACCTCAGGAGTCTGCCAACCTCAAGGTCAAACACAAGGACATGGGGGATGCCGTCACCTCTCTACAAAAAAACAGAAGAGGGGAGAAAATACATCTTAATTAGTGAGGAAGGGGGGCAGTGAGGATGGAAATATCATGAATGCAGTAATCAATGGGCAATGGGTCACATTTTTCTCATTGATTTTGTAACTGGTCTTCGTCAGTCTTTCTTTGGCATTTTTGTATGAGTTCATTTGGTCGTATGTCGGTCTCCTTGATTTGATTGGGGTATCAATAAGAAAATGGGGGAGGGGGGGGGGGATGGGTCACAAAATGGGTCACAATATCAGGTTCCATAAAGAAAAGTTTCAGGCCGAAATTCCACTAAAGTGGATCTGCGCGTGTCTTTCTTTGCTCAGCGCACACAAGTACGTCTCATGAATAATTCATGACCCTACGCGCCAACTGTATAGACATCCATGTAAAGGCGAGTGCACGGACCATAACTCTCTATGCTAATGAGCTCGGAGTGTCTCCAAGTGTGATTGGATGGAAAAGATTAATCTTCTTACTTGTTCAAGGTTTCCGAAAAATTTTCTTGACCAATCAGCTTGATTTTGATATACGACAGAGAGGGATAAACTCCGCACTGGAAAGTGAATGCGCTGTATGCGTAGAGTAATCCGTTGCTGGGATACAGAGTCTCAAACACAGAGTTATCGATTATGTTTCTTGCTACGAATTGTGCAAGTACGTGCATTGCTATGGAAGGGTTGGTGTCAGAATTCACTTGAAAATCTTTCTTTCGTGGCCTTTTCCGACGCGAATACTTAAAATTATTTTCTCATATTCTGGAAAATACAAGAAAAAAATATAGACAATAGAATACTGTTCGCACCAGCCTTGTATTTTGCAGCATTGCAAAGTTACACCAATATCTTTGACAAAAGAACGGTTTTTGAAGCCTGTGCCCATGCATTGGTTATAATACATGAGCGCGAGCATGGGTTTGAGACTCGCCAAAAGACACCACTTATAGACCTATGTTCTTCTTTTCTTTTTTAACATTATTATAATAAAAAGTAAGCTTCCCATCGAATGTAGACAACACATATATGAACAAAGAGAACATGTTCAATGATTCATAGTTAGAAGCTCTTCTTATGATGTCACGCATGACTGCACATTACTCAGATACTCGCATACTTGTATCGACTTTGAAAATCACTACAGAAAAATCAACACGACGGACTACGATTTCATACCTGTGACACATAAACCTCGCCATTATCATCGTCAATAGCAGCGCTGTAAACTGGTCCCTTGAATGCTTCCATGTCAATTGGCCACGTCGGATCTAATTTATAAAATGCGCCATCTTTTAGATGATAGCAGCTTGATTTTACACTAAAAACAAGCAAAACTACAGCAGATACGAACACCGAAAACCCAGACAGAAGCTCCATTCTCTATCCTTGTTTATCTTAGTCATGTGATGAACAGAATGCCTTGTCACATGACCTATGAGAAAGTGGGCGGGGCCCAATCTATAGCTCTGAAAACTTTTGTGGGCGGGGCTCAGGCCCAGTGAACTTATAAAAAAGAAGAGTACAGTAAAGAAGATATGGCAAAAGCGAATTGTTTCAGACTTAAAACAGGCCAAGACAGAAGCGGATCTAGAGGGGGGGTTGGGGGGTTGCAACCCCCCCCCAAAAAAAAAATCCGGGGACCATTTTTTTAAATCTTATCTTTTTTTTTAAACTTGTAATTTTATTTTATTCTATTTCTATGTATTTATTTCATTTATTATTATTATTATTATTATTATTATTATTATTATTATTATTATTATTATTATTATTATTATTATTATTATTATTATTATTATTATTTCTTTTTGGGGGGAGGGGGGGGGGGTGGGCGAACAAATGTCACAGAGTCCCTTGCCCCCCCCCCCCCCCCCCCATCAGCTTTTTTGAGGACACGGGCCACCGCCGAAGTGACAAGCTAGGCCAGCGTTGCCGATTCTCATCCCCAAAATCCCCACACATAATTATTTGCTTACTTAATAAGTCATAATGATGATAATAATAGTAATAATAATAATGATAACAATTATAATATTAATAATAATAATAATTATGATGATGATAATAATAATCCTCATCATTATTGTAATTGTGTTTATTGTTATTAGCCGCAGAAAATCTTACAAGTATTTTGTGGTTATCTTGTGGTTTGGAAACCACAAGATAACCACAAGATTAAACAGGCGCGGATCTACGGGGGGGGGGGGGGGGGGGTTAGGGGGTTTAAACCTCCCTTGGGCGGCCCAAAAAACAAACAAACAAAAAAAGGGGAAAAAAAAAGAAAGAAAAAAAAAAAAAAAGAACGCACGCTGGAGAGAAACCCTTTCAAGTGCAAATATTGTGAGAAGATATTCAACTCATCTGGTAACTTAACCAAACACATGATAACTCTGGATATAACTGTGTATTTAACTGTTACTTGATTTAAAAAGACGTTATCATGCACTGCTTTTTATGGTCTCCATTGTGTTAATAGATGCCAGGAAAACATCACTTACGGGGTTCAAATAAACACCCCCCCCCCCCAAAAAAAAAAAATCGGCTCGCCGCTTCGCGGCTCGTGGACGATGCTCTGCATCGTCATTATTGGTCAACCCCCCCCCCCCTTAGCAAAAAGCTAGATCCGCCCCTGCAAGATAAAACGCCACTGAAAGATCAGTGACTCATAATTTTGGCTAAGACCATGGTTTAGAATAACTAGAGCCTACGCTGGTCGAAACTTTATACCAATCTTCTGTCTCTTGACATGCAGGCTGAATTTAGGTATAACAAAGAAAATTAAGAAATCTTGTGACTGGCTACCGTTTTCAAGATATCAATACATTGTATGTGATTTAGGAATATAGGGGTCCACATTATGGTTTGACTGATTGATTGATTGATTTTATTCGCGAAGCCTCCAACATACAACAATATACAAGAATAACAAATCAAAATTAAGTCACTTTTATAGTCAGCTTGAACAGGATCGCCCACGAAAGCTCAAGAGCATTATTTCCAGTGGTTGAACATTGTATAACTAAAACAGAGCAAAATTCAATCTTGCTTGTGTGAGTTATCGAGGTGAGCAAGCAGAAACCCATTAGTCTACAAGGAATTCATAACACTCCCATCAGATATTGTGAAGATATGGCATAATGGCTCGGGGGCACATTCCCCCCCCCCCCCCAATAAGAGAGAGAGACAGAGAAAGAGAGTAGGTAATAGCGGGTAGGAGGCTGAAAGGGAGCGTGAATATTATGATAAAATGCAATTTTACTCTCTGAATATAGGCCTAAATAAATCAGTATAGGCGTGACAAAATATGCTTATAGGAAAAGTATATCAGTCTGTCTCCAATACTCTTGTGTAGTAGACTAAATTTGACGACACTTGAACATGACGTCACAATGCATTCTCGATAAATTACGCAACAACACATTGCGCGCCTGATGCGCGAATCTACGTAGCAACGTGACATTTTATAAGGAAATAAAAATAATAAAACATAAAAAGCACGTGTGCTTTCATACTTCTATTTTATGTCCTTCAAAATTGATGTGGTGCATGCCTTGAGCTGAACGGGTAGATTTGGGAGTTCAGAGTCTTTTCGAGTTTGTCTGGATTTTCGAGGGCTTAATCTGAACCACCCCCCCCCCCCTACAAAAAAAAGACATCAAGTTCCTAATCAAAGTGCAGACTTGAAGATGCATTTTCCTGAGTTGTGGGAAGAAGATTCGCTTCTTTTCGATGATACAGCAGAAAGAGAATTGTTGCTTCGCCAATTTGAAGAGTTGATTGTAAGTAAGGAGAACTTTATTTATTTTATTTATTTATTCAGTTCAATTTAGAGTGTATGAAAGCTATGTTCATCCCATCGGAAATGTGTTTGTCTTATTCAAATATCTAACTTAGATTGTGTCTGATATGATAACAATATTATAACATAGACTACATAAACTTTTCAGCTTTCATGGGTTAACATGTCAAGTTATCATTATTACTATTATTTTGTTTTCATGATATGATACATTTTATTATATGTGTATTTATGTTACACTGAACTTGACTTGTAAATAAAATAAGAAAAGTCGATATCAAACATGGCCCGGTGATCGATAAAGTGATATAGACCCTAGGACACTTCTACTTCTACGACGATACTCAGCAGGACCCATAAGTCAGGATGTAGTGCTGAGGAATAAACTATCTAGTTCTTGGTCTAGATGCTGGGTAGAAGCGCTCCCTTGAAGCCCTCCAGTGAAGTAGCGTCAAGGGCAGGGGCGGCCGAGCGACTTCCAAAGTGGGGGGGGGGGGGGGGGCACCAACAAAAAAGGGCTCTTTCTGGAAAAAAACGGGCACCTACATTGGGAAATCTCGAAGCGAAAATATACCCCTACAGTGTGATTACATTATCAGGGATGATTTCATTATTTGTTTCTCTTCATACATCATACAAGATATCGCTTAAGCATCATACTGTACAGTTGGGTGTGATGTCTGAATATGCATTTACGAGCGAGCGAAGCGAGCGAGAAAAATTTTAAAGATCTGTGAGGTCGCAGTGCGAAAATTACATCTTATAAAGGGGAAAAAAGCCAATCCCGATGGGGTTATAAGCACATTCTCATAACGGAAGACTGAAAAGACCTTTGATAAGTAACATAATTATATCATCTTTACATGCGAGCGAGCGCAGCGAGCGAACTTTTGGGGGAAATTGCTCTTAGTCGCTTTAAATAAGGGGCACGTTTAATGATTACATGAAAAGGGGGCAATTATCGAAAGGGATAAGACACTTATTAGAAAAGAAAAGGAGCACGTGTCAAAGTACAAAAGATAATTATATTAAAGAGATGAAAAAGAAAATGGGAAATAGGCATTTGTATGATTTGTTGACGGAAAGGGGGCACCCATCAGATTTTGATAAGGGCATTGATAAGGGCATTTATAAGAGGTGAAAAGGGGATAGGTCCCTTATTAGAAAGGAAAAGGGGCACGTATCATTATTAAAAGGGCAATTATCAGAGGTGAAAAGGGACACTGACCAGATATGAAAAGGGGCACTTATGAAAATGTAAAAGGGGCACTTATAATAAAGGAAAATGTGTATTTGTTGAATAAGAAGGGGGCACCGTTCAGATTTTTAAAAGGGGCAGTTATGAGAAGGGGAGGGAGCTCTTTCTTTTTAATGGGGGCACTTATCATAAGGAAAAGGGACACTCATTAGAAAGGGAAAGGGGTAGTTATGAGAAGGGGAAGGAGCTCTCTCTTTTTAATGGGGGCACTTATAAGGAAAAGGGGCACTTATTTGAAAATAAAAGGGGCACATGTTAAAATGAAAGGTGTGCTCATCGGAGTTTAAAAAGGGGTAGTTATTAAAAGGAGAATAGAGGCACTTCTTACAAAGGAAAAAAGGGGCAGTTGTCAAAGTAAAAGGAGCACCTCTCAGTTTTGAATCTAGGGCAATTATCAGAGGTGAAGGGGGCACTTATCAAAAGTGAAAAGGGGCACTTCTCGTACCTGAAAAAAGGCACTTACTAGAGATCAAAAATGGCACTTATTGAAGATAATTTCAAGATTTATGAGAATGGAAATGGACACTTATTGCAAAGGAAAATGGGAACATGTCAAAGGAAAAGGGGCACGTGTCAAAAATAAAAAGGACACTCGTCAGAGGTGAAAAGGGGGAAGGGGCACGTTTACTAAGTAATAGGGGCACTTGTCAAAGTAAAAGGGGAACTTTTCCTATGTAAAAGGGGCACTTCTTACAAAATAAAAGGGGCACTTTTCGTATGTAAAAAGGGGCACTTTTGGGGTATCTGAAAAAGTGGGGGCACTGTGCCCCCCCCTGCCCCCCGGGAGGGCCGCCTATGGTCAAGGGTGATCTTCGAAAGTGCATTCTAGACCTACGCAGTTACTGTCCGAGGGAAAAATGAGTTCTGGTAGAGTTGGGTGCGGGATGGGATAGCCAGCAACTTCCTTGAGTGATACTCCCGCCCCCCCCCACACTCAGTGTTATTTAGGGTACGCATATGCTTGTTCCCTCTTTTTGAAAGCACCCCCTATCTGAGGACTGCCAACATTTCCGAACCCCCCTTTCGCGGGCTTTTCCTGCCTTGGAGACCCACCCCCCCCCCCCCCTAAATCATGAAAAATGCACAATGTACCCCCCTAAATTCGGAATAATTTCTCAGGAGTCCAAAGAGATGAGAGAAAAAAAGAAAAAACACCCCCTTTTTAAAGAAATCTCAGGGTGAAAAGTTAATACACCCCTTTTTTTACAATTCTCGGGCCGGACTTTGTCGCACGAAAAGTACCCCTTTACTGGACATTTTGGCAACACGCATGCGGTCATTCCGTTTTCGGAGTAGGGGGACCGGGGTGATACTGTCGTGTGTTGCTTGCAATCATGGACAAGGGAAGACTCCTCGTT